CAATTCATCAGTATGCTGCTTATTAATTTTCTGCAATGTACTGGTTATTGATATTGCTTTTATTGTGGTACCTCACCTCAGCCATGAAGGGAGGACACGCACCTTCATCTTGAGCTAATGGCAGTGCTGCCAATGCTGCAGGGAGGCTGAAGAGCAATGTGACTAATAAAACACAACCAATAAAAATATGAAGGAAAAAATGTCCCTACTACTAAGAAATGCATATTCCAAGTGCTTGCACAGCGCCTGAGGCTGTTAATCATCACTCCATGGGCACTCCTAAACAACTCTAAACAACAGTTAGAAAAGGATCAGATGGCTGTTTAGGGGACTCGGTAGAGTGGTATTTGTTTGATTGGCAGGTAGGCATGCTTGTAAGGTGTGCTGTGAATAACAACAGTGGCTGAAACATGAAGATGAAGGTTTTTACTCATATGCTGTCTATAGGACTCTTTTCCACTTTGTGTGAGGAAATGAAGGAGGAGCTGGGCTTAAAGGGTGCTGGCTCATCACAGACAGCTGTGGGGTCCACCAAGCAGCCCTCTGTAAAGTGCAAGCTGGAAACAACCGCTCCGAGTAGTTTACCTGGACTGGCTTCTCCTGAGGGGAAAAAAAAATCTGTTTGTACCGCTGATTAATAGTTCTTTCCTCCCTGTTTCTTGCCTGCATTTGTCATGGAGGAAGCTTGTGGACATCCTTTCCTCCTCTCCAAGTGCATATGTAAACTTTCCTCTCATCACCGATCCATTAATCATAAGCACTTTTGTTACATGGATTTCTCCTCCTCCCCTTCCCCTTCTGAGTTCATTCCCCTGCCATTCCCTTCCCTTGACCACTCCTGCCAAGGGGCTGTGCCACTCGTGGCGTTGGCCCAGGAGCTGCTGTATGCGAGGCATCCCATGGGTGCCCAGGGCAGCTCACCTCCTGAAGCTGGACACTCTACTCACCAAGGAAGCAGAGGTCTGCTGTTGAGATGGCTTTCCATCCTGGCTCTGCTCTGGTGCTGTGGGGCTGACTTGGCCAGTATCTATCATTTTGCAGGAAGTAAAAAATTGCATGTAATCATCATCAGTCATTCATTATCAGCCCCTCTCAGCCTGCTTCTGGGCAAAGCCTTCTCCTCTGCTTCCCTTGTGCTGATTGCTTCAGTTATTTCTTTATATATTTATTTTTTGCCAGAACTTTGCCACACTTGGAAAGCAAAGCTGATCGGTGATAGTAGAGCATGGTTTGCCAACTCAGTCCTCCTTGCCTTTCATAAAACCACTGTTTTGCTGCTGTTGATCCACATTTATTGAGTTACTTGGGCAGGAAACTGTGGAATTTACTGAGTTCTAGCAAGAGGCATGAACACATGCTGGTACAGGCTTTAGTAGGGACCCGTGATCTAAGCACATACTTGAGATCCCTGGTGGGATCCCACAGCCTGATCTGAAGTCCATGCCAAGAGATCTGCCACCATCCATGACAGCTAGGAGCCTATCTGTGCTGTAGGCAAGCCTTCAGTGGCAGCGGGGACATAAAGCTTATTTGGTTTTACCTGAGCTCAAATAAGCAGCAAGATGAGTGTTTCAAGTGCTTCTGAGGGAAGACTGAATTTTTAAAATGATCAGTGATTCCAATTCATACAAGCATCCAGGGGCTTGGAGACTCAGCCAAATTTTTGTGAATTACAAATACAGAGGGATTAGTCTTTCCTGAGACTTTTTTCCTAATGCTTCCTGGTTTGAAGAGGTTTTTTGGCAGATATTTCTCTCTGTTGCTTCACGAGGTCCAAAACCATTGGGAGCTCTCATATAGGCAGAAAAATAATTCTTAAATACTGTGTTTACTAGATCTTTTCCAAGTAGGAATAAATAATGTAGTGTTTAAAATGATAACAGGAAAGATCACTGCCTTTGCATTAGGATTATCGGTGTTGCTAATGAAGGCAAGGCTCTAGACCTAGGCCCTTAGAAAGCTCTCAGTGCCCATGCCTGTCTGATGAAGCCTTACCAACCTCTCCAGAATTACAGAAGCTTTGTTGCCAAAACCTGGAAGCAGTAAAGTTTCCCAGTCACATATGTTTCTGACACACACGGTCCCTGCCCTGATTTACCTGAGTTTCTGCTGATGGGTGTTCACAAAGCTACCTGGTACCTGTTCATAAAGCTGTCTGGGTGCAACAGGAGTCTCAAAATAGTTTCTTTTTGACTAACTTGCCTTGAGAGTGACAGAGAAGACCTGCTTAGAGGAGACCTAATAGTCTGCTTATGAGTTTGTGTCCATGTACCCTTGAGATTAGAGTGCTGAGAGTGTACACACAGGTGGGAGGTGGGAAATGGGGCTGTATTTGCAGGCAAGAAGTGTTTATTCTTCCTCTTCCTTTCTGGGTCAAGGAGAATTTCTGCTTTCTCGTCACTCAGCCCCATGTCTACCTACGAAGTGCCTTTTTCCCTTGCATTTAGCACCAAGTAGCATAAGTGAGTCCTTGCACCATGACGTGACAGATGTAATGTGATTCTTGCAAAGTGTATGGTACAGGGAGACAGAGGGGTAAGTGGATTTCAGAAACAGGCTACACTCCTTCAAGCTGGAATGTCTAAAGGCAAGGATTAGCTGTTTTGGCACTCCCACTGAGGAGAGGAGAACCTACCTATCTCTATAGTCAGAAACAATGGAGCTTCTTTATGGGTTGTCTTTTTTAAGGATGCTAGGAGGCAAAGGAGCCCCTGCTCAGTTCAGCTGAACCTTTTGCATGGCTCAGGAATATGAAAAATACCTAGCCTTATTGTGGATCTTGCTGCATGTGCCTAACTTGCATGTACCCTGTGGGGACAGAAGTCCTTAAGGGTGGGATTTTCAGAATTGCCTGCATCCTTATTCTCCTAAATCTGTTTAAAAATTGGTTTGTTTCTGGACACGCATGTTTCCTCAACTTTGTACCTCTAACTGTTTTTGTTTTGTAGTTTCTTAGAGTTGTAGCTAACATGAATGTTGGCCATATGAGGTACACTGATAAGACTTGTTGGGGCCAAACATCATGAGAAAGCTTAACACTTAAGACAATGAAGCTTAAGCCTGGCTTCCCTCTTTGTCACCCACAATAAACAGTAAAGATAATGATAATAAGAGAAGAGACACATACTTGTCTCTGAAATGTGTTCCTGACTGGGAATAACAATGGAAATTGGTATGGGTGACTTCTCACAAGCCAAACATTTGTCAAAAGTGAGATACACCCCCTCCCTTTTTGTTTCATGGGTGAAACTGGAATGGAAAATGTGAAGTAAATACCTTATCCTTTCCATCCCCTGACAAATTGTTTTTATCAAAGTGAAACAGTCCCTTTTGACCACCACAACTATCCTCACAAAAATATTCCCTTTCAAATGAAGATAATTTACCAGTTTGCTTGGTTTCCTTTTAGTGAAAATATGTAAACATAATACTCTGATATTGGTACAACTGTTCTTTCCTGACTTATGTCGACAGAAGCTTCCTGTGTTATGAAATTAGTGCAGAGAAAAAAAGAGGTTACTCAATTTTAGTATACCTGCTGAATTTACCTGAATGTGTGCATTCAAATCTGGGATTTATATTTTCTGATTAAATATTTTAGTACAAACACAAGCCTTACAGTTTCAGTAGTTTGACTGATTTCTTGTTTTACATGGTGTGGGTTTTGTTTGATTTAGCATTCAGTACTACAAGAGTAATAAAATAAAAGTGAAGTAATCCAGAAGCCTAAGATGAAGGATGCTTTGAGAAAGAATACTCTCCAAAATGTTTACTTTTTATGAGCTTTCACTCTTTGGATTCCCTCACGAATTTCCACCAAGTAAATGGGCTGCATGTGTATCTGTGTGCATATGTGCTGTGGATGTATGGTAAATTGTGCCTGGCTGTAGGTTTTTGTTACAAACAGGAAAGTCAGCCCATTGTTCCTAAATTGCAAATGTAAATCCATTTATAGCTTGTAATTTTGCAATTTTGCACGCTATTAACATGAGATCAGTTTGCAGTTTTCCAGCTCACATCTCCTTAAACCTCAAAGAAAAACCCAGAGGTTTATGAATCCAGGTGAATCAAAGCTTCAGGAAAAGCTCTCACAGAACAGAGATTTGCACAGTTCTTATCTTCTGCCAAATTACTCAAGCGGACAGCAGAGAAAATCTTTTATATAATATTTGGGAAGTGAAGAAAAAGGGAATAGGAATGTAAGCACAATACTTGGTAATATGCCTCTTCACCTTCCTGCAAGAATTTTGATTGATAGATTCCTCCGCAGTCTCCTCCATTAGGCCAATTTAGAGAGTCACTTGCATGTTGCGTATATAACTTGCTAAGCTGTTCAAATTACTCCCTTAAGAAAGAGGTGCTCTATGCTGCGGTTTATTAAGCCCACATCTTCAATGTGTCTCAGGGCCAGACACATACCTGAAAAAGAAATCTGAGTACATATTGGATGGTGGGGAATTTGGAGGCTTAAGAATACTGGTACTGGTTTCCTTTTTTTTTTTTTTTTTTTTTTTATTTTTCTCTCCCCCCCTTAAAGTAGTTAGTCTTTTTAGATTATAAAGCCAGAAGGGACCATTGCAATCATCAAATCTGACCTCCTGCTTAACACAGGCCATAGGCTCACTGAATTAATTCCTGTCTGAACTAGGGCATACCTTTTTGAAAGTCAACTTTTCACTTCCCAGCATATGAAAAGGTTTCCCATGACACCTATAGACCTTTCCTAATGGACAGATTCTTCCCATGATACGGACAAATTGAGTTTTTCCTGGGAGGTACTGGCCCACTCTGAGCTGATAAAGGAAGACCCAGAAACTGTAGGAATGCTGTGATCACTTCTTTTGCACCCTGTGATGTTCCAGGAGCTTGTGCATCTCCTGCTTTATGAGATATACTTGGCCTAGGGGAGCTAAGTGGAAGGATGAGGGAGAAGAGGAGGTGCATAATGGTATGGCCTCCAGCACTATTATTTATGACAGTATCCTTCCAGCAATCTATGCCTGCATAGGGTGAAGGCATGGTTTCAATTCTGCCCTTGAAACATGGATTAAGCAATGTTGCTAATACATATTTGTCCCTGCGGCTGTCAAACATTTCACTGATACTAGACTCTGTAGACAGCTTAATAGCTAGGTCTTCTGTCAATGTTACTGCAGCAGTGTCTCCTTTGCTTTAAGATGCTGTTCAGATTTATTCAAGCAATAGGTGTAGCCTGGTGCTTGGTTAATAGCAGCACCTGACTGTATACTTGTATCATCACTGCTTGCTGACATCCCTAGTGACCAGATGAAATGGATAGACTATGGAAACCAAGTGCTGAGAAGAATCCAGTGAGTGAAAGTTGTAAAGATCATTTGTCTTGTCTGTATTTTGTGCCTCCTACCAGAGTTACATGCACAATGTATTATTATTCTAGAAGTCTCTGAACAATAGCTACCATCCACAGGAGCTGAAAATGTGTATATCCAACAATATTGGACAAATGGTTTTATTACTGCTGTCAGTATGGTGCTTTACTGGTGTTGATGTAACCTAGGTGTCGCGGGTTTTCGTGTAACACTTGGTATTTTACATATAAGCACATCTAATTTCTCTGGATGCTAGAGGTAGGAATTATCTGTGAAAAGATAAGCACTGAAAGTGTTATGTTGTATGCCCACACATGACGTCAGTATTTTGCTATGTATTGAAAAGAAAAACACAATTGAAGGATGACATTTTTCCAAGCTGCAAAATTACAGTTCACCTGTGTGGTGGAAAGTGATGAATCCTTGGCTTGTCAATGCTATTGCCACTAACTGATGGAGGAACAATGACTGGTATTACCTCTACTTCACACTTGCTTCAATTCTCAGCTTTGGCTTTTCAGACTATCAAGTTTTTTCATTATTATTTTCTGATGGAGATGATTTTTTCTCTTCATCACTGACCATTGGAAAACTGTCATGAATATCTTCAAATCTCACCCCATCAGATAAAAATACTTCTATGGGTTATTTTTACTTTTCAGTACGTATTTTCCCTCCCTTATGTTTGCAGATAACTAACTGTCCGTGACTGGTAGGTTACCACACATTTGAAAGATCTGAATTCAGGGCAGATTCTGGGTTAAAGGTCTGCATTGCAAATGATGGCACTTCCTACCCTGGGAACCTCTGGGCCACTGCTGTGCTTGAAGCAGCAAATAATCTGGCCAGCTGTTGAAGCCCTGGCAAAATGTAACCCAGTCTCAAAAACCCCCACCCATCTGAAATGAAGCAAATGCTTACATCTTTCAGAGTTCCTTTCATTTGCCTTGGGTTTCTCTTTTCTTCCAATAGTGATTGCAGGGCTGGAAGAAAAAAACCTCTGGACCTTGTTTAATACCATTTTCTATGTGGAATTGAATGTGCCGGAGTGTTTTAGAATTTAACTCCTGTGATATCCACTACAGAAATTACAGTTATTATTAATATATAGTAATTTCTTTGAAGTTTCTTCAGCACCAATGGTCACATAGACAATCACACCTTGAAAAACGCTTCCTCTGTGTGACTTTGCTGTAGTTTAGACTTTCTTAGCTAGCCTCTAGGGACGTGAAGGCCTTAGCTCTGACCTACATTTCTGCTAATTCTCCTACTGAGTCCACCTTTGCTTGTTCTGCTTTGCCAATAATACCTTTATGTCCTTTTCTTGCCTTTCTGCCTACCTCTGTGATCTATTTGTAACTGTTCAGTCCTCTCTAAAATTCCTGTTTTGCCTTGAGGCAAATGGAAGAAAAATGCACTGTGATTAAACTTGTGTGTAGTATGGAGAAATAACATTTTTTATTTTCTCTCTCAATTCTAAGGTAACTATTTGGGGAGAGGGAGGGGATATTGCAGGCTTGGTATTTCTATATTTTCTAGAACATGGAGACTGAAGTAGGTGACAGTATCAACCTATCTTATGGCTCAAAGAATATTCTAAGATCTTTTTATTGTTGTTGTTGTTGTTGAGAAGTGTTGAAAAATTGGTGTTCATATTCTTCCACAAACCTTTCTACTTTCCTACCTGGTTGTCATGAACTGATGGTTGAAATAAATAATCTGGGAAGGGCATAGTCTTGTTATATGTCAAGTAGTGAAAAATGTAACTTTTAAAATGTTGAGGAAATGAAATGGGTTTATTTATCATGGGAAACCTGGTAATTTTGGCCAGATCAAACCTGAATTTCCTCTTGGTCTGGGCCGTCCTCCTAAATAAAGAATAGAGAGAAAAAACTTACTTGCAGCTCCTCATTGGAAACTGCTGTTCATTTTCTTTTACCACTAACATCCAAGCTGACACTGTTTTTTAACATTTAGTAGTCTGACCTTCATATCTTTGCCAGTCCCCTTGGGCATTACACCTACTGTGTCCTGGTTTATTACCTAGTCAGGCTCCCATTTTCTCCTCTGTTTGGGGTGATAGGATTAGTTCAATGTTCAGGAAAGAAAACCAAGCCATGTGATTGGCCTGTCCAACCGCAAAGACTGACTACTGAATTAAAAGTAGCAAATACTGGGAGTACTACACACAGTGAGTGTGCACAATTTGTAGGCTGTAATAGCTTTGCACAAAGCATTTATTGGACAGGTTCAAATAGAAAACAAACTTGTAAAACCTGCAGTTTGTTCATGGACTGCATTCATGAGTATGATAAATTATGTGGTACAAAATCTTTGCTCTCTGTTAACTTCTCAAAGGGAGACATAAGATGCTGCTGATGCCACTGGAGAAAGCTCAGGACCCATCACCTCTACTGTACAAGAATATTGTTTAAATGAAAGAACTCATGTGAAATGAAGGAAATGATGGAATAAACATTCCAGATGCAATTGAAGATGCATGCCAACTTGAATTAGAAATGAATGTTAATGTTCCTTAGATGAAGAAATTACCAGCTTGCACCCAATCCCCTTAAAGTTATTAATTTTAAAAATACAGTCTTTAATTTGTCAAAAATGGAAACTGCAGCTGTATTATGTCATCCAAAATATGTAACTCTTCTTTTTTCCCCTCAGTCTTCCTCCTTCCCTGGACTGCCCCCCATATAAGCCTAATGAAGAAGGAAGTGTGGCCCAATTGATGTGACATCTTTGTGAGAGTCATGGTCTGTAGCTCTTTCATTTATGCAAATCTGCTTGCTCAAGGCAGGTATTCTGATGTGTCAGCTGTATGTAACATGAGCACTTTGTAGCTCAAATGACATTCTTACTTTGCTCTGATAATTGTCCTGCACTCTCTAATGTCTGTGAAGCAGGTGGATCATGAACTGCTGTTCCAGATGTCCTAGGTGAGGAGGATAAATGCTGAATGGCATTTTTTTTTAGCTGAGGGAATTGTTAATGTTGAGTCACGATGTAGTCTTTTGGGTTGAATTTCATAATTATGAAATAAGGTGAGAAGGAACTTTTGATCAGCTCCTTTAAAAACATAAATTAATTAAATATTTTCTAAAATGGAGCTGCAACTCTCAGTAAAGTCAAAAGCAGTTCCTCTCAGCCTCTGAGGACAACATTTTGTTCACAGATTGTAACAAACTTATTTTTATCTGAAATACTATGTTGCAAAGGCTGGTAAGAGATTTATTGTGATGTATTAAACCATCTGTTCCCACGGACTGTGCTTCACATTCCAGCACTAGCTGATGGTTGTGGTGCTCCGTTTTTGATTCTCAAAGCTCCTTTGCGCTCCTTTGCCATTTTAACTTGTTTGTAGGTAACAGAGAATTTTCCCTGACTTGAAAAACAGATGTCCTGGTCAAGTCTTGAGCAGACTACAGGGGAGCTCAGCTGCAGGGATACTTGCAGCTTTTTTCCACTGATTTTTTCTTTTCCTGACCAGACTCCTAATAACCAGTGAAATAAATAAAAAAATAAAATTCAAAGCAGCAGCTTTTCTAAAATGCAGCAGTGAAAGAAGAAATTACTTTGACAGGAGGAAGTATGAGGTATGAGGTTTTTTGTTTTTTTGGTTTTTTTTTGTTTTGTTTTTTTTTTGAGATAGCTAGCTATAAGGCAGAACATATTTTAGTTTACTTCAATAAAATGCATGGGACAAAATGGTGTAGGTCAGTTCAAATGGTATGAATTTTCTTCCATCCACAGAGAAAATAGCAGGTGTCAGGAAGCTTTTCTTTCTCTGTAAGAATTGCACTCAAACTCAGAGAGCTTTCAGAAGTTGTTCAGTACTGGCAGTTTTGTTGTGATTAGAAGGAAATAAAATTTGGGGAGATAATAGTTTATTGGCCAAAAAAGGCAGGCGTGGTTCTACCTAACCTATTCACAAGATTTGCATGTAACATTTGTTAGTGTGAACTGTTGACTTCTCCAAAATTACTACAAAAATATGAATATCAGTTTTTGTTGTTTTGCTCTAGGTATTTTTTCCCTCCTTCTGAAGTCAGTATTTCTATTTTTGTTGATTTCCTTCAGAACTGGAGTGAGGGCTAGTAATTTGTTTAATACACTTGAATGGTACAGTTTCTAAAGGACTTAGTTTGTTCCACACTGTCGTGGTTTAGGCCCAGCCGGCAATAAACACCACACAGCTGGTCGTTCACTCCTCTGCAACATCCCCTCCCCCCCACCCTGCCCAGACTTCCTGGTGAGATGGGGAGGACAATCGAGAGAAAAAAAGGTAAAACCTTGTGGGCTGAGGCAAGGACAGGGAGGGGTCACTCACCACCTATGGTCACGGGCAAAGCAGACTCGATTTGGGGAAACAAAATCAATTTAATTTGTTAAAAACCAAACCAGAATAGGATAAGAAAAAACAGAATCACATTTTAAAAAGGCACCTTTCCACCATCCCTCCATTCTTCCTGGGCTCAACTTTACTCCCAGTTTCTCTACATCCTCCCCACGGGCAGTGCAGGTGGATGGGGAATGGTGGTTGCGGTCAGTCCACCACACATTGTCTCTGCTGCTCCTTCCCCCTCAGGGGGAGGGCTCCTCACACTCTTCCCCTGCTCCATTGTGAGGTCACTCCCACGGGAGACAGTCCTTCATGAACTTCTCCAGCCTGAGTCCTTCCCACGAGCTGCAGCTGTCCACTAACTGCTCCAGCATGTGTCCCTCCCAAAGAGTCATGGCTTCCTTTCCACCTGCTCCAGTGTGGGGCCCTCCCCAGGCTGCAGGTGCATCTCTGCTCCCCCGTTACCCTCCA